GGGTGGGCCGTTGCGCTGCGGCTGAACAGAATATGTCAATCTACAGGGCTACTACGATTTTATATCAATGGAGACCTATGACGCCATACTAAATCCCACAGCACCGCATTTGTGGAACCCGCAACTATGGCGGCACCACTCAATGCATTCGAGCGGAAAACGCGCTACATCAAAACTACGAGTCAGGCTTTTTTTAAAGTTGCTATACTACTAAATGGGCTAAACGTAAAAAGCCAGCAGCCGTCGCGAGCCATCAAACAGGTTCGAGCGTATTGGGCTACCTGGCTGCGTTCATTACTGCGACGTAGGCTTGTGACATAACAATGAAACCTGCCTTAAAGCGCTCACTGCGTTCCAGAAAAAGCGCAAAAGACATTCAGTGTCCAGTTGCGTCGTTGCAATGTTCGGCCAATGATAAGAGATTGCTGCAGCGCCCGTGGTCAAACTTCATTACGACATCGCCAAAAAATAAGATTCTGGATGACCCTTGAAATAACCGAAACGGCTAAGAGTATCGACAAAACTCACAAAACACAACCTTACTCGGTCAGCAATACTACGGAGATTACTAGGAGGTTACGACGTCACAACATGCAATGTCTATCAATATGTGAATCGGAATCGGTCACCAATTTATGATCAAGCAATACCAAAGCCAAGTAGCCAGCCAGCAGCGAATCCGCTGAGCAGCCAAGCGTGAGATCGTATGAAACTGCCGATCTGAAACGACCCTCGGTAACCAAAACTAGACACCACAGAGGATTTTAAATTGACTGACCTCTTCCTGATCGGGTATCACCGTGTCGGGCTTTCCTCTCAGCTTCTTCTCCAGTCCTCTTTTCAAGTCCTGCAAGTCCTTCTCAAACTTCGTTCGATTCAGTTTCACATAGCCACGGTAGTTGCATATCTGAACGACGAACTGACGACGAACTTTTTATTATTATTTCACTGTATATTGAAACGAATTACAACAAATCCAATTATGTGTAGTGCACGTGTGACGATGGCAACTTATAAATGTTTATTTTCTGACTAAAAAGCACCGGACAACCGAATTGCTCACCATAAAACTATGAACCTGCTCACAATGTTATCGAATAATTATCTATGTGCATATTGCAATCTAGCTAGTGTTCCTTCTTTGTAGCAAACTCGTCCTTCAGGCCTCTTTTGTGGAGCAGGTAGAAGAGCAGTGTCGGCCACGCCCAACGTAAAAAGATGGCAAATTTGTTGCTCATGGGAGCCATGACAAGCTCTATTTCCCGTGCAGACGCGGCTCGGAGGATTTTCTTAGCCGCATCTTCTGGTGAGAGTCCCTGAAATGCGGTGAATATCAGTTGTTATAAAAAGACATGGTGCGCGAGGAGCACTAAGAGTCGCTAACTGCTAGTCCATCCCACGGGTAGTTTATTTGTATTCCAGCCATTAACCTATCACAAAATCAAAAAATAGCTCCTGCTCAATTTCCAAGCGCGCCTCACCAGAGCTGATAACTTATTTATTAACTTTTGGAACCGGTGAGGCGAGAGGGACGATTGTAAACACATAAAGCAACTTTACAAGGATAAAAAAAGGATAAAGCATTTGCCGTTGATCAATCCTTTTTGGGATGCGGCACGCATTCTACTTCCATTTGTAATTCGTAGTACCAATTAACCGACCCCGGAGGGATGGAAGGCTTGGTTGGCCCGGGCGACTCACGACCCAGGATTTGATCCCCGGACCGCTCGCGTGGTAAGCGCGCCACTTGTCACTACACCACTTCCGCCCTAACCTTACCTACTTTATCCTACTTTACTAAATAACATTAAAAAATGTAAACTATGACTCAATAGCTGCGACCAAATTTTGGCAGCAAAGCTGCCAGTGTTGACGCCTTGTAAACTGAAACCTAGAAATTTGAAAATCATGGGGAATTGGAACATTTCCGGGCTCTAACAATATTTCCACTACTCACTGCATTGAGCTTTGCATAGCTGAGAAAATGAAGCGTAGGTGAGACGATGACACGCGACGCAACTACCAGTGGCACTTTAAAGGGCAAAAATTCCAGTCCGAATCTTAGCCGGGCCACTCAAGCCTTTAACTTCTCCAGGGTTGGGCGATAGCAGATACTAGTGGGAGCATGAAAATACTGACTTCTACAACGTAGAGCCATATAACCTGTTTATAAACCATACACGCATTCGAAGAAAATTAATTTTTCGGCGGACGTGTGTGTCTTGGGCAACCCGAAGTTGACGCCGGATAATTCATCCTTTCATCCTTCCCGGAACTCTAGCACACACAATTTCAAGCACTCGACTTAAGATTAACGTGAGGCTTGGTTCGGTTGAGTGATTCCTGATACTACGGCCCGTGTTTATGCCATGTCTCTACCCACTGCGCCACATCTAGCTTAACCTTTCTTATAGATAGATCTACCGGTTGTAAGGAACTCATCAACTAATCTTGATAGGAATACCTCCGCCGGCGTCGTCGCATCCTCTGAGCCGGTCATAACGTATGGACTGGCTCGGCGCTTTTATAAACCTAGTTTTTTTCCTGGAATGCGTAACAAAAATGTTCCTTTCCAGCATGTTTGTGGATCGAGTTCATCTGCCAAATCCCTCACCTCTGACTCTCTAATTCCACCCTAATCCCTTGATTGTGACCGATTTCCTCCGGATCATCCCTTTTCCGCGAGTTTTCTCAAACAACTTGTTCGTCTCACCTCTAAAAGGGTGGAGGCGGCAATAACAGTTGTTCTTTCGCCTGATAATCGGAGAAACACGCGCACTGGGCGCTTCACTCACTTACAGCCTATCACCTATCACTGCACTAGACACTAGTGTAAAGGTCAAACGTATTGTAGCCTGTCTGCATTCCCGACACAACCCATTTTCTACTCAACGTCCTTGGACAGTCGCCTTCTCACTGGTCGGTCACGTCCACTCACCTCTCACTTTGGTGCACAACATCAGCCCAATGGTTATTTACTTGACCATTCTCGCTGCACTCTCTGGAATCGCTCAAGGTGGGTCCTTTCGTGATTAGATTATCTATCGGTCAGGGAGAACTATGTTCTACACCCATTCAATGAGATCATCGAGATCAGTACACAACGACTATAACTGGGTGACATTCTGAGATGGCGAGATACTGCTGTGCCCCTTCCAGATGTCCTGCTGCTTTTTAATAAGCCTCGTTCACTGAGGAAAGCGTTTGCTTGCATAAGCGCTGATAAAGGGCAAATATTCGTAGAGGTAAACAGGACGAGCCAAGCGTCAAGATAGCAAAGAAGATTCCAAAAAAATGATCCCTTACACTCCTGCACGATAAATTAAACCCCATAAAAGCGAGAGGTGCGGGTTCTAGTCCCGCCTGGGGCGAAAGTTTTGTTCACAACCCAGCATTCTTGTGAAACATTCGCAAGGCGAACTGCGGCCAAAAACAGCAGTTAAAAACCCTTTTCTTCTTTCAACGTAAACCCCTATCATTTCTATGGTGATGTGCCGTGAAACTTAGCTAAATGCATTTTTCCGCCGCCTGCTCTCCAGTCTCTTTCTCCTCCATATTGCCCTGTTCTGACATGGAACCAGCCAACACCCCAAATACGACTCCCTCACTCTTTCCAACGGAAACGATCCCTGTTAAGAAATCTTCGATCGTGATTACCGTGGAGAGGGGGCGATCACCGAGTTGGATTAGGATATTAAGTTGGCGTGGCATTTCCGTTGCCTCCCCGATGCAGACTCAAGCTCCTTGATTTTATCACCTTATCGTTATCTTCATTCAATATCATACATACTAGCACAATCTTCCACCTTATCCCTTGGAATTTATCCGGATAATTCATAAGCATTGAAACAACATGCAATAGTTAAGCAATTGAGTGTCTCCCTTTAGTATACAGTCATGAAAGGAATTGCTTTGCCACTGATAGGTTATAGTTTGCTATAAGCTATAGTTATAAGTTGTTGGTATAAGTTTATACCGATTCTGTAGTCTAATGCCTTCCCAGCGTATTCAAACTTACCAAGCTCAGTTACCCATGAAATAGGCCCAGCACCATTGGCTTCAGAAAACTCATTACAAGCGACTGTTGCGCATAATGGATTAGATAAATATGCCATGCTCAAGGCGGAAAGTGGAGTAGAATGGCAAAGCGTATCAGAGCTACCACGCTCCGATAATACATTGTATAGCGCGCCCATTACACTCAAATTGCCGCAACGTTATTGAATGGAATAAGGATTGCCGTGGACGCCACTCCGCAAAACAGGATCTGTAAGCGCCCGAATGTGTTATGCTCCTTTGAGTAGTTCCTGCAATGATACGATGTTATGGTCCTGTACCTTACAAGAAGTCACTCACTACCTAGCATTGGTTTGAGTTCGAAAGCAAACTTGGGAAAATAATCGAGTATGATATAGCTTCTAGGGTAACGTCCAACGACGTCTAGAACAATGGCAGACTGTTAACTACACGAGAGCTGCATAAGATCTTTACAAATTTTCGCTGTTCTCTCTCATTTCTTTAAAATGTATGTAAATAAACCGCCCTAAACTTGTTAACTAAGAATTGAAATAAAATTTGACGCACGCAACAGTGATTCGCATCTGCTTTGCTCTATAAGAGAAGCAATCATAAGAGTTCTAATGCCACGACGACACCATGGCAGCATGCGCACACCAATGCATTTAACTTCTAAACATAAAGAATCAAACTTGCAATTCTGACCCACCACTTGGGGTTTTTGGGATGAGCCGATCAAAGAACAGAATCGTGAAATGCGATTGATCCCATAGTATGACTTGCGGGGCCAGTCTATGTAAAAAAAAAGTGTTCTATCCCCCCGTTGGTGCTGTGAATAATCGACCCCGGTGAAATTGAAGATCAAATGGCAAGTGATACAGGAGCTGATACAGAATTCAGCCCTCGACCATGTGCATAATTCCACAAGCGGTGGTATACCACTACACCATCCCAACCCGTATCTTCGCTTTCATTGTACCTCAAAATGATGTGGTGACCCGTATCTTCGCTTTCATTGTACCAGCATGCTACTCTTCTACGTTCTTTTATTCAAACTGACCACGTGATCCCAAATATCTACCTTTTAGGATAAAACATGCCAAATGATTTCTTTCAGTAATACACTATGTTTAAGCACAATTTCTCTTCGGACTGCTTCCCCAAATCCCGCTCTTCACCCAACAACCGTTCGCACTTGGTCAAAACCTACCACCGTGGGAAACGCAAATGGTAACGAATCACAACCTATTTTCTTTTGCTTCCCGAATAAGTTATATGTTTTTTATAGACACCGACTCAACCGCTAATGGAAAGCATCGAAGATGTGCCAAACCCCGACTTGGAACCAGGACAGTGGGCAGTACCCGATCCGCAATCATGGCCACTCGGTCCTGATTGGAACGACCCACGAAATACGTGGGCAGCTGTAAATGGTTGGACCAGTGATGAGACAACAACGACAACAGAAACACGATCTCGCTAAATAAATCTCATTTTTCTAAATATCTGAGCATCTTCTAAGAATAACCACACCTTCTTTTGATTCTCATCTTCTTTACCAACCGGCTGCCCTTGAACATCAAGGGCACGTGTCCCAAAACCTGTGTTCAGATAACCAGCTGACACGGTAAGAATGTGTAAGTTGGGACGGGCCTCACATCGCAACGCATCGAAAAATGCCTAAACAAAATGCTGTTCGGTTGTAACCATCTCCATTAGTGTACTACTTGACACTTTCAGCAAATGCCAACACACTAAGACAGCTTACCTGGAAAGCATGTTTGCTGGCGCTATAAGCACTCCTATACGGAATGGACAATTTTCCCCTGCACACTACTCGTTGCGATAATGCAGCCGTCGTCCGGAATAGCCTCCAATAGTTTCTGTGTGACCACGACATGTCCAAAGAAATTCACGTCCATGAGTTGTCTAAAAAATTTGAAAGTGGAACTAGAATAGATCGTAGGAGCAAAAAGACTTACTTGTAGATCTTTATCGGAGTATCTTCTATGGCTCCACGCATCGACAGTCCTGCGTTATTGATCAACACATGAATTGTTTTCCCATCTATGGCATGGTTCTTTAACGATTCGACATCCATAGGCTCGCAAACATCAAGATAACTTAAACGAACATTGAAGTAATTGATTGGATTCATGAAGGAGCACCACGATGGCAAAACTACGAAACTACCGTGAATTTGCTGCCAAGATTTCGGAATATATAATCTTTACTTTAAAGGAGCTCTTCTCCGAAAATAGTAAAGTTTACAAGTAGAGTTTTTTGTTGATCAAAAACATGATAAGTTCCTCTTAAAACACGATTCCTCTTAAACAGGGACACACTGAAACGTTGACACCAACGTATCAAAAGGCAACGGCAGCAACAGGCAAATATCCAAAACCAGACCAGATATTCATTTCTTGAAAATATGCCTTGAGCTAACCTATACCACCTATAATCCCACCACGTATTGTTCCATCAAAATCCTATTCCACTTACTTGATAATTTCATTCTCCCAGAAATCCTCGCAAAGCCTTATGCTTATTTCCCCAAGTTTTCTTTCCCGCTTACATTTTACACCCGCCACCTCGTAATTCCTCCTTCCTTTACATTGACCCTCGTTTTCCCTAAATTTATGTAAACAACATTTCTATTATAAAAACAAACGAATACGTGGCGTTCTGCTCTTCTGAAGTTCGAAAAGCGAGTTCACGAACAAACCGACACTATCGCAATCCCAGACATAAGGCAAAAATGCACATACATACCGTAGGATGGTTCAGGGCGGCGTTCCCATCGAAAGCCTATCGTTCAATTCTTTACGATAGCTCCTTCGAGTTATCAACTGCTGCGTCTGTGAGATATTATCGTTATAGCACCGCTTGTCCGATAGTCGAATGCAAAGGCTCGTCCAATACGCTGTAAGGTCAAGTTTTCAGAAGCCGGATGGACTCTTGTAAGCAAGATATAGACAATTGAGCACCTGAGCTCGCTCCGGTGATTAGAACAGTTTTATCCTTGAACGACAAACCATGGATGATGATGCGGTCCAGGGAGAAGAAAGTAGCACAACCTACAAAGACTGCGAGTAATGCATATGTTTGGACCATAGATCTCTGACTCACTTGTAAAATGAGTACAAAGCAGCAGGGATGACAGCCCATTTAAGATAGTGCTGCAGTAATCTATAGCAGTTCAGCACTGATTACCATAGCAGACCCTGTCGCAATAACATATGTAAAAAGATGTGGAGTTTCGGCATAAATGCATGAAGAAGACACGTATGCACACATCCTTGCAAGAAGGACAAGGCAAGGACAATTCTCGCCAAGAGGCGTTGATACAAAGAAAGCGCACGCGACATATAGAGAATCAATAAAACAGAACGAAATCACGAGGATTACTGAATGGGAAGTTGTGAACTTTAGGTCATGGTCAGATTCAGAACAATACAGGAAGCCTTCGAGAAAGGAGATGCAAGCAACTGCACGTAACAGACAAAAAAAAACAACTGATAAAAGAAAAAATATTCGTACAGCTCGACATAGAAATATTACTGACAAGTGAAGCGCTCGCGCATCCAACATTCGACTTTTTCATGGGCTAAACGAGGGCTTTTCTTCCTCGAACGTTTGCGAAGGAATTTCTTTGCACCACTCACGTGATATCTGCCATTATGCCAATTATAAGCTCCGGACTTCATAATCAGTGCTAAGTGAACGAAGTACAAAAAAGTGAAGCTCTGTTGACAAAGGACGTTTAGCCTTTTTTGAACTCTATATAGAGTACAAACAATTTAAATACACTGGACTCATGTTTGGTTTGTTCTCAAAATATGCACACTATTGGCCGATGTCAGACTTTGCGATTGGAGCGATTTTGCACCAATTGCAGGAGCGACGGATCGCTTGAGCGATGCGAGCGACGGGAGATTTACACCGCCGACGCCGATACACAGGCGTAAATCTCCCGTCGCTCGCATCGCTTGAGCGATCCGTCGCTCCTGCAATTGGTGCAAAATCGCTCCAATCGCAAAGTCTGACATCGGCCATTCAGTACAAACTATTCACAGCTTAATTACCATACCAACAACATTAATGAACTACTGTGATGGACCTCAACTAGCATTTCGCTGCAGTTCAAACTGTTAGTCGCAGGAACCAATAAAACTGTGTAAAGCATGAAAATGGGAAATATTCACGACAAATCTTCTTTTGCCCATTATTACAACGATGAAAGCCCGAGTTGTTCATATTCCAAAAATATCGAAATTCCTCCAAAGAAAAAATTACAAATCGATGCGATGCGGTCCAAACCGCTTAAAGAATGTTGTCATTTTAAAATACCTATGATGAGCACTATTGTGTAAGGAGCGAATTTAACGGCGAAACGTCCTAATACCTCTCCTTCCAGAATGTCCAGATTACACCTCTACGCCTATCTACACTGATAACAATGTTCCGTCACACCGCGCTTGGGTCTTGCCTTCTCATTCGCAGAAGTTCATCTGGGAATGAGAAGGCATGACGACAGGCTGGAAAAGGGTAAAGGATGGCGAGAAAGCTTCAGAAACTGTATCGTCTCTGTTGTACCGCAGTGATTTAAACTAGCATCGTTTTAAGCTCAGCTTGCTTTGATCCCCAAGTTCTGGTAAGAAAGCTAGAAATAGGAGGTAATACTGTCACAGACGAGTGCAGGTAGTAAAAGTACAACAAAACTACACAATACAAACAAACAAAAAGAAAAACCGTGTTGAAAAGCAGCTTATTCTAACTCTGATTGTTTGGAAAACAAATTCAACAACAAACATATTCTAATAAATAAAGTAAACGAAACCTGAAACGCGATGAGCGATATTCCCAAAGCGGTTGCAGCAGTCTTGCTAGTACGCGTAAAAATGTATCCAACGCACCTACAAAGGTAGGTTAGAACAATCGCTAGTAGCAAATGTATATCAGCAGTTTCATTTCTTCCATAGTAATTAGAAGCCCTATGACCTCAGATTATTGGGTTAACCAAGACTTTAACACTTCATTCAATGAAAAATTAGCTTCTGGTGCGCCTGATAAAGCCATAAGTTTCTGGATAGCCTGTACTAAACAAAAACTGAGCTAAGTGCTTGTGAGGATACACTTTTAAACACCATGAGAAAGATGCATGAAGTATTCGGCCCTGGATAATCACTTTTTTGATGGACCAAGCCATTCCAATTCCACTCAAAGCCGTAGTGACAATTAAATGTGAGTTGGTCTATGAAATGAGTTCCGAGAGCCTGTTGATGTACAAATCAGTATTTTTCCCTTCCATAGGAGTATGATATACCCGATGTTTAATGAAAGGAAGGAGTTAGCCAAAGCTACTAGCTATTGCATGAGCGACTGGATCCGGACCGATTCGCCTTCAAACCCCAAAACCCATGTATAAAACAAAGACTATTTTCGAAAAAATTGTTCACGCATACTACTTGGTCATTTTTATGTCAAGACGAACACAAACACCCCATTAATTAGTAGTACATTTTCAGCTGAGCCTGAGAAATTCTTCCATCTACTCTTCAAGCGCAAACTAGCTGCAACATAGTATGCTCTTGGATTAAGTTCAGGTGTTAACATTATGGAAGCGTTATTACACGCGCAAAGCAAAGGCATAAAAGTGTTAACAAGAATAGGGAAAAAGTACCAAATAAATATATGGATAGACTCGCTGCGTGATTCCAACAAAAAAAAACTGATATGTGATGATAACCCTGTTTTTCCAATCTTAAGAAGCGGACCGATTAGAACCGGTTGTGCAAATGATGGCAAGAGGATCCGTTAAGACAGATCTTCGTATCTTTGTTTTGTCGATAACAATATACCGCTTCTACCTACCGAACCACAATGAAGTGGAGAATACCAAAGTAAAAAATAGTTACAGTTTTATAAGCTGCTGGCAATGTTTTGAATGGATGAAGAATCAAAGTGAATTATCTTTACGCAAAATCAATACGCATCTACTACCAATGCAGCCGTGATGGAATGTAGGGCTCTGCATACAGTGCAACGGGGATGATGAATCAGTGGCCTCGAAAAAGAGCATGAGAAAATGTCGATGAAAATCTATTTCTTGGTCATCGGACTCCTATGGAAGTTGAATAAGGTCAGATATGTAGTACTGCGAAATCAGGAAGGTGCAGTTTTAAGAAAAAAACCCGCAACTGACTTGCGTAACAACCAAGAAAGTGAATCTGCTACGAGCATTTTCCTAAACTAGCAATAACTGAAGTGCATATAAAGAAAAGAAGTGAAAGGATGGCCACCATCACACCATGGAGAATTGTGTCTTCCCAGGCCGGGTACCCTACCTCTAACTAACGATTGCACAGCTTGCACAGCTGATACGCACTAAGAGAATTAAAATACTGATCTCCGCGAAGCAGGTAATCCTGTACGAGTACGCAATCAAATGCTTACGGCTCGGAATGGAAATTGCACTCCAAAGAGAAGGTCAACGCCAACCTATCCACACTCGTCCTTTCACTACTGGCAGGATAGCGAAGCGAATCGACTACTTTCCAAGTCCTTTACAAAGATCTACGAGGTGCTTCCAACGCGCAGCTACAGAACCAGGGCGACCTTAGGGACATCAACCTAAGTGGGTATGGTCGAGCAGACACTGAAGTGAGTGGGCCACTCATAGAACTCGGGACTAAGCTTAGGGAGGGGAAAGGATCCTGGAAGAAAATGTGAGCAACCATGTTCTCCCTGGTATTTATTCCCAACCCTGGGCTTAGTCCTAGTGTCACCTAGCTGCGGTGGTTGAATGCCCTGATTTGAATATCCCCGAAATTTGCAGAACTAAACGATTTGCAACAAGATCGAATTTCGTAACAGAATCGAAAACGAATAAAGCTCACAGTCCAGCCGCTCCTCCAACAGCCATTTGGGTTGGTGGAGGTTTCTTATTAATGTTGTCGATAAATGATAATGTACGTTCCCATGCGGATTGTCGTCGGATGCCTCTGTTGGCCCGATCCAACGACTCCAGCACTTTATCGAAATCGCTGGAACCCATCTGAAAAGTGATGATCTTCGCCCAGCAATTGCAGAACCAGTAGCAAAATAAAATAGAAAAACAACGACACGCTCGAAATAACAGCTACGCAATATTTTGGGTTCATCAAAATACAATAACGCTCGATCATAAAGCAAATTACAATGTAACAGTCAAGCAGCACCGATCCAAAAGGACCTTCAAAGAGAGCGTACGAGGACTCAATTGTAGCCGTCAAATAAACTGTTTGTTGCCATCTGCGTACGACACGCGTGACTCTTACGACATTGCCAGTAGAGATGCTGTGAGTTTGGCTCATTATTTCGCCAAAAATGATGGCATAGAAAAAGGACTGGATATGTTGGTTCGCTCAGAAGAGAAAGTATTTTTATGGCCTATCCGAAACTGTCCTGCAAGTGCGACTTGTGACGCACATCACATTTTGTATGTGGGCATTTGAAGGGAAGAACAACTCATGCTGCAAGTGGACTTGCTCAGCATTCGCTCCAAGTCTCCATGGCAAAATAAAGACGAGGAAAAAAGGTGCCAAACAAGGGATTCGAGAAGGACTTGTCCATTTACCTCATTGATCCCAACCTTTTAAAATTTTTGATTTCCAGTTTCAAGAGGGAACAAGGTCTCAGATCTGAAATAAGTCCTTCAGATGGTTGCATCGGTTCACCAATGAGTCTGTCTTTGATATTTCGCGAGATTTCTCCGCTTCTCGACCGACTTGCTATGAACCTTGGTGCAGTCAATTTCACCAATACTGCTCATCAATTTTTAGCCAGAAAGCTATTTTCCCTGCACATTTTTGCAAAGCCTCGACAACCTTCGCCCCTATTTGTTCAGTCTTACATCAGCAGCAAGGCGTCAGTCAAGGGCACCTATACGGGCACATAAGGGCAGCTGGAAAAATCTCAAATTTCCACCGATCGCCATGGGATGCTCCATGCGCGCAATTTTCATACCCTCGAAACCTCGAAGGAACCGGAGACATAATAGCTTACCTGTCTAGTGTCTTGCCGACTCCGTCTTTTCAGCAGTCCTTCTTTATTGTCAAGTCATCTTCATTTTTTTCATAGATTTGTTAATTTGCAACTGTTTTTATGGCTGTTCATTGTAGTCTATCAGTTTGTGTCATTTTTTCCTTTCTTTCTGGCCATGCAGCCAGTCCCGCTTCACCTGTCGTAGCTAACGCGTCACTGAACGCACAAATAAATAAATAAATAAATAACTTGAAAGCTTCGGTTGACCTTAGAATCGTTTCCACTGGGAGACGCGTCTCTCCTCCGATGCTTTCCTCAGGCTGGGGGAGAAACGGTTGCGTACTATGGCTCACAATATTTGGCGTTTTTACCTCCCGACAGTTCTAGTGCTCAGGAAAAGAGTGCTTAGTCCAAAGAGGGTCTCTACCGCGCCAACCGCTTGATGACGGTCGCTCACCGTCGGTTATCTACTTCAGCTCACCAGGGATAACCGAGGGTGGGCGTGCGTCGCCCTGAGGAAAGTATAACTTGAGGCCTTTGAGCGAGAATGAAATATTGGACAGGATGGACCGTTCAAGTGTAATACAACTACGTCACTTCACAGTCCCCTTCCAGCACGATATACTCACAATCTCCTCAGGAGTGTATTCAAATGAACGTCTGATCAGACCAGGAACTGATTAGTCATATGGGAAGATGCGGCGCCTTTGAGTCCGAATGCTATCTTCGTGGAAGTGTTTAGCTGACTCGTCACTGGCTTATCACAATTCTTTCGCCTATTTAAGGGGGTAGGGCGTTGATGAGTATCGTTTTCCAACGTCAGGTCTTATCAATGTAGGTCTTGCCTTTTCTACAGTATCTCCTGCTTTTCCTGCTGAAAACACAGCTCACCTCTGAATAAACCTTTGAACTCCTAGAGAATTTTGGATACTCCTTCCCGCGCCAAGAAGTTGTTCTTTACAAAGCTGCTCGAACACTGACAGAATTCCCGAAATTCGCCTGTAACAGCATTTTATCACATTTGCGCTTTCTGATGAGTAGCGCTTTTCGAGTAATTTCACCGGTCACCATGCCAATTTTTCTCTAGTACTATGTCGAAATCCAACAAAAACTATGTGAGAATTTGTTGTTTAGAATGACCCCGTCAACGACGCACGTTGCGAACGCGAGTAAACACTCAATTTGGGTAAGTCATGTATTGTGCGGCCGATGCCAGACTTTGCGAATCGAGCGATTCGCTAGCGTCCGCGGTCGCGTTGCGGTACCAGCCAATTGAGTGATTCACTGGCCGCGACGCGACCGCAGACGCTAGCGAATCGCTCGATTCGCAAAGTCTGACATCAGACTACAGGCCTATCTGAAGCAGCAGTTTCGCACTCGCATCTCAACTGCAAGCACGATCCTCTTCAAATTTTCAGGCAAAAGTGATTGACGACGGGAAGAAAGTCATCGAGGACGTGGTGATTCTGCTGCCTGGAGATGTGGCAGTCAGAATTAAAAGAGCCAATGATTTCGCTGCAGAACACGGTAATTATCTTAAACACGTACAGTAGACAGGTTTGGGAGCAGTTTATGGACTTCATAGCGTTAGGAGGACAATGAGTAGGACACTCTTGGAGCAGAGTCGGTGCTATACAAGTAGGGTGGGCACGCCGCATTTTTTGAACAGAAATGTATGTAAGTGGGACTGCTGCCCGCTACTATACTGTCACGAGAATCGGGGAATTCGTGAGCCAGGGGGAGTGTAGCCAATCTAGGGGGTGGGGGGGGTGAGGGCAGTCACTTGACATGCGTGAAAAGCTGGGCGTGCCCACCCCACTTGTATAGCACCGCAGAGTCAACCGTTCGTTATTCCGATTCAAAAATTGGGGGCTAGCTTCCCCCCTTAGAGTGCTTCTCGAGGGCCGCACCACCATCAGCCTTACTAGGAAAGTCTCGGAATATAGGGTGCTTTTTCAAACCGTTTTGCATGTTACAGAGGCACGCGCACGGAGCATACATTGAAAACAATTTTTTTCTGAGCTAAAAATGCTAAAAATGTATAGAAAGTTTAAAAACGTAGAAACCAGTGGTGGTGGTTCGATCCCCACTGAAAACAAAATTTTACATTTCTCTGATTTCCATTTTCTTGGGCTCATATATGTTTAAACAAATTCAGTGAGAGCTTCCGAAATGCAACTACTCACGCTTCAAATGCTGCAGAGTTTATTTAAAATGGAAAGGTTTTGCTTCACCAAAGAAAATTTTCTGCCCCTTTTTGGCACCCAGGACTGCTCAAAAAAGATCACCAGTATTATGCTCCACGCTTGTGCCCCCACAACACACAACAAACCATCCCGAAGAAGCGCTCCATGACCTGAAAGACTTTCCTGGTCAGGAGGGTCCCCAACTGTGAGCCCTCGCCAACCCCGGCTACCACCCTTACCATCACGGCTGCTTTTGATTTTGAGAATGTTAAGACGCTCGGGGGCGTTAACGTCGTCTAACAAAGCGGCTACTGCTCTATTTTCGCCTGTTTCGCCCTCTTTTTGTGGAGTTTCTACCAAGGACGTAAAGAAATCCGTCAAAATCCCCCTACGCCTTCTGCGACCACGACTTCTTCAATTTCCTGACAAAGACCTGCTCAACCTTTTCTCTTCGTCAACCTCAACTTTACGACTGTCTCCGAAACTGGCCCTCTACCCACTGACAACTGCGCAACTCATCCTAAGTTGAAGTAACCCTGATTCGGTGTGGTTCCTTTAAAGGGATGTCGCGACAAGAACGAAGGTCGAAGAAGGGAAATTGCATAGTTAGACAGGCGGACTCCTGAGGGTGCTAACCGACGCGCAATTGACAGCGAAAGATATGACCTCGGCGCATGTAGCATGGCTCACCCTTGGCGCGGTTGGCCGAGGTACGCCCATCGACTACCTAATCACTCGCCGCAGTGTCTATACGCTGGTGCAGTTGATTCGTAGCAAGAGAGCGTAGTGTTGAAGAGGGCACAGCGACGAGAGTCGCATCAATGAGCGAACCAATGGATAGAAGGGGTCCCTCCATGGGTTTTGGGTCCTTTCAAATGGTTTCTTCTTCATCCCTGCTCCACTGATCACCTCTACCCTTATTTCCAATGAGCTAACTTTTGGTCCTACAGTCTGCCTTTAAGAAAGGAGAGTGCGACGCCGTTACCACCCGATTCAATCACGGGGTGACTGGCGATAAACTCGGACGACGTTTCGACCTGCGTCCGTTCTACGTTCTTCAAAAAAAAATGGAGAAACAGTTTTGCGGCTCTCAATGAATCTTGGCATGAGTCGTGCAGAATATGTCAGTGTAGAGTGGAAATGGAGGAAATGATTCAGGATTCACCAAGATAAGCCCCCGAGTGGCAACTCCATTCTACGCTGGCGATCGTATGTTGTGGGCGCTCAAGACAAAAGTTTACGTCAGTGCGTACTATGTGTGAGTTTGTTACCGATACGTTAGTGGAATTGGTCCTTAGAAAGGACTCGAGAGGAGTAGAAGTCAAGACAGTGATTTTGCTCAGAAATTTGTATTATTTTGCGGCGAAATACGAGATCAAAGGAGCCGCAAGTTTTATGCGGATAGGGCTCCTTCTGCGCGGGAGTCATTACCTTCCGAAAATCTTTGAAAGAGCATAATGCTTTGGTTCCTTTTTTGAGCCCAGTGTTTTGGAATTTCGGTTCACATCGGAGGAGAACTTCGCGATAAGATCGGTGGTCGAGAAAGGAGAAATACGCCTAGCTGAAAAAGCAGAGCCGCTAAGATGCTCGATTCTCCATCGAAAGTGTACTGGCCGTCGCTAGCGTGCGGCACGAATACCCTCTCGGTATCCGAGCCTCTAGCCGTTTAACAGAGAGGAGAGGACAATACCGGTGAGATTCGCATCAACGTAGGAATCAACGGGCCAAGAAAGGGGTCCACTTCTTGGTTTTGGGCTGTTTTTATAGTTTTCTTTCACAAGTGCACCGCTTGCTTTCCAATAAGTAGGTTTTTCGTCGCGACGTCCGCATTTACCCTGCACATTGAGGTGAAGTTATGCGTGTGTGGCAGTTTTAGTTTCAGCTTTCCCTATACTTTCAAGTAAAGTTCTAAGTTTCGATTGGCTGCAACCTTCCTCGAAAAGACTCATTATGAATTTGTTATGATCCTTAGACCAGAGTTGGATTAGATGCAGTTGGAGGATTTATGGGCCCATAGGATCTCATCCACTGCGGTGAAACTTGCTCCCTCACCTATGATAACCGGGAAACGGTTAAGAGTCCTCCGCGATTGCTTTCCAAAAAGCATGGCAATTTGGAAAGTTCAGGACCCGTCTTTCTGACGATCGATACAACGCTTCTTTGTTCCGTCTGTGTTGACCCATTTCTGCATTTTTTTGCAGGTCCTAGCAAAGTGCAACGTTTCAGACTGCACGGACCTAAACACGGTAGCAGCCGTGTGTGATTACCTAATTTCTCTTGCGCGACGACCTCTCCAAAGCTATCACATTTTTTCTACCGTTAGAAATGTGTTCCTCATTTCAGGGACCCCGAAATGGAGCCATTCGCGAAATTTGTTCCGCTCATCCAGTGCCAGCCAACTACAGTGTGATAATCGCCAAGGATATGACACTTCGAGCTACCAAGATGGGTGAGCTGTGGGAGGACACCGCCGGAAATCGCCACTGATTCTGAATAAATACATCATAGGTCGTTCATTCTTTCGCTAAAGCGGCAGGGTGTAAGAGCTGTACAAGCATAGCGTAGTCGTTTTGTGGTCAGTTTCCGTGAATAAAGCGTCACCCCATCGAGAATGCTCGTTCAAAAAGTCCGCTGATAAACAAAAAGTCTTCTTAAGCTTTTACGAAGGGCTACCGTGTTCTCAAGAAGGGTTAGACTGAAGTGTTGTTGCGGCGGCCTCACGCACCACACCAGTCTTCAACGCCAAACACGTCTAAAGGATGAAAGCCATACGAAGGATTTGGATAGATGGCACTATTCAACTATTACGACCCCAAAAACTCAAAATTTTATTTTTCGTCGAAACTTCGCCTATAGGGGTAATTCGGTGCCTGATCACGAAAATGAGGTTCATTTTTGGCGTTGGCGCCATTTGGCGCCAATTGGCGCCAATTTGGCGCCAAGGGTGTTTTCACCAAATTCGCTGTAAACTTGCACATAGGGGTTATTTAGGGCCCTGATTACGGATATGTCATTCGTTTTTAGCATTTCCACCGTTCAACGCACATTTTCCATTCTCCTGGGTCCTCTCACTTGTACATAATACCTAGGACTGAGCCTAGAAGGAGGGAGGACTCCGGGGTGGGTGAACCAGTCAACATGTGGCAAACGTTAAAGCGTATAAGATCACAGGATAAGTGTTATTCACTTCGGAGCACTCTCCTCCTCAAAGGCTTAGTCCCGATCGCGAGGTGATCAGTGAGAGGGCGCAGACGAGCGGAAAACAGGCGCACACAGGCGCTAAAAGGAAAAATGAATGTTATATTCGTGATCAGGACCCCAAATAACCCCTATGTGCAAGTTTACAGCGAATTTTGTGAAAACACCCTTGGCGCCAAATTGGCGCCAATTGGCGCCAAATGGCGCCAGCGCCAAAAATGAACCTCATTTTCGTGATCAGGGCACCGAATTACCCCTATAGGCGAAGTTTCGACGAAAAATAAAATTTTGAGTTTTTGGGGTCGTAATAGTTGAATAGTGCCGGATAGATCAACTAAAATGAGAGGGTTTCGCTGTATGCTTTCGGAAATCCGGATTGTTCCATTTTCATCTTTTTTAAATGTAGTGTTCGGGGGTCGACTCTGGGCAATGCGGTGGGCGTGAATGTATCCTCAGCAGACAACAAGTTTGAGAACAGCACATATCTACGTTATGCTACCATTCCACAGAGCTTACCACAAGTACGCAGGTGAAGAAGTATGTATGTCAAGGCAATCGACAGCCATTTCAAAACTTTAGAAGCTTACTCTGCATTTTAAACCACTGATACTACGACTATGGCTCTCGCACATTCACTCGGTTGTGAACAAAACATCGTAAGACCACGTTTACGCACACTGTGGAACTTAAAGGCACAACAAGTCGTGAGAACCATTTCCTTCGATGCGTAGAATAGACTCTAGAGGACAACCACAGATGTGGCATACCCGTGCACGGAAATCATCCGCATCTACACTAATTTTCAGCCATGTGTACAACTCCCTGTTTAATTTTTAGCTTTCGAGCGTCGTGTCTTTCACACGATGGTGATGTTCAGATCCAAAGGTCGATGGAAGTTCGGAAGACCGAGGGACCGACTCCATACTGCGTTCGGTACCATTATGTCTGGGTTTGCTTCGTTGAAAACGGGGTACGCATCTTGATAAATAGTAAATAAATAAAGCATTTGCCGTTGATCAATCCCTTTTGGGATGCGGCACGCATTCTACTTCCATTTGTACATTCGCAGTGGCATTTTGAATGCGATGTGGCCTATACAATGACTTGCGGGGGCCAGCCGATGTTCAAGTCAGTGTTTTTATCCTCCCAGACAAGTCTGGTACCAATTAACCGACCCCGGAGGGATGGAAGGCTTGGTTGGCCCGGGCGACTCACGACCCAGGATTTGATCCCGGACCGCTCGCGTGGTGAGCGCGCCACTTGTCACTGCACCACTTCCGCCCGCATCTGATGAATGTGTTAAAGGAATCCTTCACGGAAAAACCATGACTCTATTTCAGCCATAAATCGTCTGGCTTGAGACTCATTATCCACGATAAGAATGAAAAGAACAGAAATATTGCTTTTGTTTTGGTAAAAATTCGAAAAATCGAAAGGCTGCTACGCGTTCAAATTGCCCACGGACGTCTTTCACAAATGCTGGCGACGGGGATGCTTCCACTTGGTTCTTGGAGTGCCTTCACTAGAAACTCTTTCTGGCCTTCTGCTTTATTGCATTCACATCTTACACTTCTACTCCATCCTATTCTATCGATCGATTTGTCTCTACTCTCCGAAATCGCGCGCTTTAACCCGATTCTTTCATTGCGTCGCCTGATACGTAGCCGGCCAAAGGCCAACTTCTTTCCATGCCTCGCCTTTGGCTCCGCCCGAATTACCTTCGATGTCCATAACGTGTAGTTTTTGTACGTTTGTTTCTCTTCGGAAACCGAATCTTCATGCGTGAAACTTTGTGTGCTGTTTCCAGTGATCACAACTGACACATTCATGTCAAGAAAGAATGCAAGAATTTTCCGCGAAGGATTCCTTTAAGCATGGCTTTGGCTGAAAATTTGTCCTCTTGATGGGTGCATCCCTAGGGATACAATAAAACATCCCAATTTTACGCCCTCAACAAAGCAGTATGTATGTAGATCGTATCAACATAACACTTGAAATTATAGTGATATTTAGCTTTCTAGTTCTAGCCTCCGAAATTGGTACAGTATTTTCTTGGCTGACGTTTCGGCAAAATCGCCTTCGTCGGAGCCTGGAAAGAAAGTCGAACATATAAGTGGAACACAATCATTCAAATACCTTTTCAAATTACAGGAAAAAAAAGCTCTCAGGGTTAGAAAATCAAAATTGTCTGAAGTTATGCCCTTTTTGGCTTACGAGCCCTGCATAAGAAGTAGCCTTCTGTGATCTCTCTGGGCCGAAGGAGGAGGAAACTTTGTTGGATATGGGAGAGTCGACAGCACGAAGCTTTCCTTGGTTGATGTACTATTCATTGGTGGTTATTAAATGGGTATTGTCAGCACCGAATCGGAGGGGATTTGTTAGAGACTTTCCGCTGTAACATCGCTTCTTCCAGTGATTCATTGCGCTGTTGAATGTCCACTGGACACGAAAAATATGATAGATAATCAGATTCCAGCGTTCCAATTCCCCTGCTCGGATTTTTTTTCTTCGCTTCTTTCCCCATAACATTTCGAAAGAAACGCTGGGAAGGGAAGGCATTTGGTGCTTTGAAGGACATTTCTCAAAAATTGGGCCTCGTTTGAGCCTTCGAGGAAGACTATCTTGACGAGACGTCAAGCGACTAATCCAGTCTCTATCTAAAACC